CAGCACAGCCACTGTTAAAAATCAAATACAGGGACTTAAAGTGAAACAAATTGTGTTTTAAAAGGTAACATACTCAGAATGCATTCCCTTCTAATATTGTGTGTATTCTGCTGTTACCTGTGTGGCTGTGGTTACTCGCCTCTTGTATCTGGTGGCAGTACCGCGTGCTGGGTGCTGCTCTGCCCCTCTCCCCAACTCAGCGACTTCATGCTGGGAGCTTGAAAGCAGCATTCACACCATGGAAATCAGTGTGTGCTGCAAGCTGGGCACCCCACCCCCACCGCTTACCCCACTCTCCACCCCATCGCCCACCCTGTTGTTACTGCTTGCCAGCACACCATTGGTTACTACTTACCTATTAATAGATTTCCAAGTCACCTCCTTCTTTCATTTTTATCCTTGAAGTTCATATCCTTTTAGTCATTTCACTGGGTTTCCAGAGAGAGTTGAGATAAATCTGTGTTGTAGACACCAGTTTCCAAAGAGAGAAATTCTCTCCTGGCTCTGGACTCAGCCTGGGCTGACCACAGCCTGCTTATTGAGACGCCAAGAGGACTAACTGCAGTTGGGGACCTAGGTAAGAATTAGATCCTCTGCAAACGATATCCCTCCAACAGGGACCCAGCATCTTTGGTATTTAACCCTAAATGAACCGGGCCCTGTGGGCCTTGCATCTCTGCTCCCAGCCCCCTAGTGTGGGCATTCACCTCCTTCATGTGTCCATGCCATGAACCCTCACAGAGGCTTCTTTTGTGACTGGCAAGGAACTCCTAGGACTATTCCTTGTTGTTACTGATTTTAATAGACTTTATTTTTCAGAGCAGTTTTAGGTTCGTAGAAAAATTGAGAAGAAGGTACAGAGATTTCCTATAGGCTCCTTCCCCACACATGCACAGCCCCTCAAGAGTGGTGCCCTTGCTACAGTCAGTGAACCTGCGTAGGTGCCTCATCACCCCACACCTGGACTGGACATCAGGATTGCCAGTTGGTGGGGTATGTTCTGTAGACTTGGACAAATACATAACTGACATGCGTCCACCGTGGTAGTATCCCTGCCAGAGTAGTTTCCCTGCCCTGAAAACTCTGTGTTCCACGTCCTCATCCCTCTGTCTCCACAGCCCCTGTGAACCGCTGATCTCCTTACTGTCTTCATGGTTTTGCCGTTCCCAGCGTGTCCTATAGGCGGAATCGTGCAGTATATACTTTTAGAGATTGTCTTCTTTCAGTGTAATGATAAGCTTTGAAAGTTCCCCCAGGGAGGAACTTTTTGTGGCTTAACAGCTCATTTATTTTTCATGCTGAGTAACATTCCCCCATCTGGATATAGCGGTTTGTGTGTCCACTCACCTGCCCCTGGGCTGCCCTCACTCACTTCCTGTGTGGCTGCAGGTTTTATCTTTGCAGGCTCTGCGTCTGTCTTCAGAGCACCTTCTCCCATCCCATGGCAGCTCATCGCCGTTTCTTTAGCGTGGGTGGACCTTTGCCCAGCTGGGGGACACGCCCCAGGGGGGTTGCTTCTGCTGTGTCCTTGCTGTGGACGGCTTGGCTTTGGCTGGGACCTGGGGCTAAGTGTGCCTTGGAGGAGCCAATGTCAGTTCATTGGGCTTCACTGTGCTGTGACTGCAGCACTTGGACCAGGCCACTGGTGTCCTTGCTGCATTCATGACTAGAACCCTCTCTGAGGCCCTGTCTGCTGCAGGCCAGCCTCCTCCTCCCCTTCTTCCTCCTCTGGTGGCAAGGGAGCCAGCGTGAAGTCTCCCACTGTTTGAGTGTTCAGTTCTCTTCTGCTGGAAGGGATGGGGCAGTGTGGCCACGTTGTCACTTCTGGCTCTCACTGGCGGTGTGACGTCTGTCACATGGAACGAGAGAAAGAACACACACCTAAAATGCCAGAAGACCATTGGTCCAAAAGGAGGGGTAGACAGTTTTTAATGGGAGCTTTTCTCTTGAGGGACTGCTTATAGCTTGTCACCACTGTTACCATCCTTTCTTACGTCTGTCATTGCATCCATGAGAACTGAGAAGAGCAAGGGCAGGAAGACCCTGCAGGGCTACGGGATGTTTCTGGGTGCCAGACCCAGGGCTGGTTGCTTCCACGCAGCCCTACTCCAGGGTGTGGGTTCCATGGGGCCAGGGCTGGTTTGTTCAGAGCAGGAGCTCCATTCGTATTTCTCAGAGCAATAAACATTATTGTTCAGATGCTAATCGATTCATTATATATTAATATGATTATCTGCTAAATAATCATTTAGCAGACAATTCTCAGAACAACTTCATAGGCCAGGTGGGTCTACTTCTGTTTTACAGACAAAAAGTGACACCATGATGGCAAGGAACTGCAATTGTGCCTGTAATTCAGACCTGAACTTATAATTTATTGAGTTTTCTTCAGTGGGAGCCTGTGTAGAAAGCATTACTGGTTTGGGAGCTCAAAGCAGAGCAACTTTTGGGAGCCATTGCTAATTACCAATCAGTCATACAGAGGAAAAGCCTCTTAGATAGATGAATGAGACTGTGCGGTGGGATTTAGACCGGCGACTTCAGAACAGACACATCTGGAAATGTTCTAAATGGTGTTGACAGGCAGCAGAGACAACCGTTACACAGCCTCGCAGAGGGGCCAAGCCCTGTGTGTTCAGGTGCAGCCAGGACATTGCAGTGGGGTGAGCATGGACGAGGAGAGGTGAATGGAGGTGGGTAGGGTTGTCCATGGCCTTGCTGGCCATGATGAAAAATGTGGGCCTTATTCTGAGTGATGAGGAGGTGTTGAAACATTTCACATGGGGAAATGATATGACCTGATTTATGATAACAGCATTAGCAGTGGATTGGAGGGATATTGTGTTAGTTTGGAATGATATTTGTTGGTAACAAAAATCTGCAAACAAGTAATTTAAAGAGATTAACACTTTTATTAGCAAGTCTGAATAGAGCCAATGTCAGTTCATTGGGTTTCACTGGGCTGGGTCTTAATAGACTTGCTAATAAATAGACAGCAGAAAGCAAGTACAAAGTCTCCGTTATGTTATCAGGGTCTCACAGGCTCTTGTAGGTTTCCACTTGGCCATTCTTAGGATGAGATTCTTATCTTCATGGTCACAGGATGGCTGCCAGAGCTCCAGCCATCAAATTCTAGTTCCAGGCAGCAATAGGAGGAAGGACTGAGGGAAGTGCTTGCAGAATCAGCCTCCTTTAAAGAGCTTTCCTGGAATTGCCATCTAATAAATTCCACTTACAATTCTTTGGCCAGAACTGCCACCAGAGAAGCTGGGAGATGTAGTGAGCTGGGCACACTGCCAACCCAAGTAACCTCAGGATTTTGTTAGTGAGAATGCAGGAACATGGTTGCTGGGGCAGGAAGCCAGTGATCTCTACCACGAAAGCAAGAGCGGAAGCAAAGTAAGGGAGTAGGAGGCTGTTGGAGAGGCCAGGATGAGAGGTGAGCATTGCTCAGATGTGAGTGATGGTGGAGATGGATAGAAGGAGACAAGCCCCAGATGTATTTGAGGGTTGAACAGCAGCACCATCTACGGAGTGGGGGTGGGGTTAGAGGTAGATGGTGTCGGCCCCTGACTGCTGGCGCTGTTTTTAGGTGGGGGACATGGACTGTAGGAATTGTCTGGAAGCAGAGTGAGGTTCCGTTTCAGCTGTGTCTGGCTGGGGTGTGGAAGGTGGCATGTGGAGGTGGTGGGGTGGAGTGGGGTTCTGGAGTCTGGAGCTCAGGGGTGTTGTTGTTCCATGACCCCCACAGGACTCCTGGATAGAAGGGGGAGCAAGGGACTCAGGGATCCCAGGTTGCTGTTTTCAGTGAACTTTTTACAGAAGTATAATGTTAAAGTGCCCAATCACTGGGTGCTCAGCCCAGGACATTCTCATAGAGTGAACCTGGGGCAGCTGGCCCAGATCAAGGTGCTGGAGTTTCTTGGGCCAGTCCTGTGGCGGGTTAGGCTGTGGGGCCCGGCAAAGGCACACCAGGACAGTAGCCAGGCAGTCATCAGAGGATGCTGGGGACATGAGAGATGGGGCTGGAAGGCCTGTGCACACCTCCCCCACCGCCAGCCTCACAGTCTCACTCAGCAGCATTAAGCCTGTTCTTTTACTAAGGGTTGCTTCTTACTGGGCAAACCGGAGTGAGTTAGCGTCGTTTCTGTGGTGCACAGACTTCTTTAGGTGAGACCGGAAGAGCTAGCAGGGTCCTATTTGGGGCAGAGGTCAGACACTCCTGCGTGGTGAGGCCTCATGTGTGTGTGTTTGTACAGGTGTACATCTGTGCATGTGTGTGCACTCACATGTACATCTTAGCTCTCTCTGCAGCCTCCAGTTTTTCTGGCTGTTTCCTCACTGAGCATTACAAAGGCAGAGTCTCTAAGGGAAACTGAAACCCGAGTTCCTTCATTTTCATCTCGTTACCAGCTAGACGCAGCAGCCACACAGGAAGGAAGCTGGGCAGCCAGTGGCCGTGTATGTCTGCCAGGTGCCCCACACCATGCTTAGGACCCCTCCATGTGTCTGTGCTGCATTCTGGGCTGGGAGCTGCAGGAGTGAAAAGCACTGATTCCTGAAGACCCTGGCCTCGCTTTCCTGTGTCCATGTGGGCTGTCCACTTCTAAGACCCTCTTTTTCCCCACCACCATCCCTGTTCCTCAGTAGATGGACCCAGGTGGGGACCCAGGGTAGGCAGAGGGGCTGTAGGGCAGTGAGAAGCCCAGGTGGGGACCCAGGGCAGGCAGAGGGGCTGTAGGGCAGTGAGAAGCCCAGGTGGGGACCCAAGGCAGGCAGAGGGGCTGTAGGGCAGTGAGAAGCCCAGGTGGGGACCCAGGGCAGACAGAGGGGCTGTAGGGCAGTGAGAAGCCCAGGTGGGGACCCAGGGCAGGCAAAGGGGCTGTAGGGCAGTGAGAAGCCCAGGTGGGGACCCAAGGCAGGCAGAGGGGCTGTAGGGCAGTGAGAAGTGGGTTGTCGCCCACCATGGGTCCTGACTCTTCTTTCTCATTTCCTTCCAGCATTTCTTGAGGCCCTAAAGAAGTATCAGGGGGGCTTTGACATTGTGGTGGTGAGAGCGGCCCCTCCTCACCTGGAGAACTGGGAAATGTGGATTCTCAGGGACTACGTCGCTCACCAGCTCCAGGCTGTGCTGCTGGCCCTGGTCCTGGGACACTGATTCACCTCCACAATAGCACACTTGCCTGACCACTTGCTGCCGTGAGCCTTTGTGGCTGGAGGCCCTGGGCTGCCCCTACCTGATGAAGATGCGCACCCCCATTAGGGGGCTGCTCATGGCCTTTGCAGTGGTGTTTGGGACAGCAATGGCGTTTGCCCCCATGCCCCGGATCACCTGGGAGCACAGAGGTGAGCGATAAAGTCTGCAGGGGTGCTGATGGCATAGGATGGGGACATCACTCCCTGGGGTGCTGAGGTGGGTGGCTGGGGATGGGACAGGGACCCCACTTCCTGAGATGCTGAGGCAAGTGACTGGGGACAGGATGGGGACCCCACTTCCTGGAATGTTGAAATGGATAGCTGGGGATGGATGGGGACCCCACTGCCCAGGGGTGGGACAGGGACTCTACTTCCTGGGATGCTGAGGCAGGTGGCTGAGGATGCTGGCATGTGATCTGTTGGATTCTCTGCTCTGAGAACTTCTGTCTGAGCAGACAGGCCTATGCAGCTGATCTAAGAAGAGGCTGTGACAGCTGTAGATACTCAGCAGGCCTTGTGCAGACCTCCTGATTTGTTTCTGAATCTGGGGACCCCTAACAGGAAGCTTCCCTCCCTCATACCTGGTGATGTTTGAGGTGTGCTGCTGAAGCACCCGCCCCTCGGAGTGTCTGCCCCAGGCACCTGAGAACAGTGAGGCATCACGAGGACGCTGGCCCTACATGCAGCTGAGCCTCATGCTGCTGCTATTTAGTTTTTGTTTAGTTATTTCTTCTCTTCAGGGATGTATCTGGGGGCCTGGGTTTCTGACTCAGTGAATTGAGAGCTCACTCCCTGGGTCTTGAGCAAGGTGGTGCTTGCAGGTGGCTGAGAGCTGTCAGCATTATAGGCTGTTGTGCCAAGAGAATCCTGCTGCCTGTGTACATCTCCACTCCACACTGAACACTTAGAACAGAAAGCATGAACACCTGACTCTCTGTGTTTTCTTGAAGCCAGGGTCTGGCTTCTGTTGCCCAGGCTAGAGTACAGTGGGACAATCATAGCTTACTGCAGTCTCGATTGCCTGGACTCAAGAAATCCTTCCACCTTGGCCTCCCAAAGTGCTGGGGTTGCAGGCACCCAACACCACAGCTGGACCACCTGACTCTTACATAAGGCAGACTCTTGGTAATATGTAAAAACCAAGGTCATCATGCTCAAATTGATGCCAGAACAGTTGAAAAGAAGAAACAGATCCTAAAAATGTAATGCTGATACATTTATATTATTCTTTTTTTTTTTTTTGAGACAGAGTTTCGCTCTTGTTACCCAGGCTGGAGTGCAATGGCATGATCGCGGCTCACTGCAACCTCCGCCTCCTGGGTTCAGGCAATTCTCCTGCCTCAGCCTCCTGAGTAGCTGGGATTACAGGCACGTGCCACCATGCCCAGCTAATTTTTTGTATTTTTAGTAGAGACGGGGTTTCACCATGTTGACCAGGATGGTCTCGATCTCTTGACCTCGTGATCCACCCGCCTCGGCCTTTCAAAGTGCTGGGATTACAGGCTTGAGCCACCGTGCCTAGCCATTGATATTATTCTTAAGCAGCTATTGCTCAAGTCTTCATATTCCTAAGTAGCTGTCGATAAAGTAACCTAATAAGCAAAGAGATGTCCCTTATTTCTCTGGTCTGTAAGTTTGTGGTGGTGGTCATTAAGAATTGCATGGGTTGATGGACATATTCTCCAAAATCAATTTTGTAAAGATTTTGAAGTAAAACATTCTTTTCCTGAATAAGAAAATTCTAAATAATTATATTCTCTGTATACCTAATCTGTGGATGACCAAAGGCATGTAGACCAGAGCCGGGTGAGCAGAGGGTGGGAGCTGTCACAGGAAGCATCAGGCAGAGCAGAGTTTGGGACACCGTGGGATCCGAGGGAGCAGGAAGGGACGTCCGACTCATAAACTGAAAGTGAGCACACCAGCTCCCGGCTCTAGCTTTAGGGCGGTGAGTGGGTCCCATGTTCACACATGCTGGCCACGTTGTGGGTCTGCCATTGACTGAGGCCGACCTCCATTGCAGCAATGCCTATTGCAGCAACGCACGGCCCTTGAGACATGACTGCACCCAGATGTGCTCATTGTCACTGAGACAGGGACCCAGGATGTGCCTAGGCCTAAAAATGCTTCCGTCGCTCTTCTCTTCCTCCCACTCTGACCCTGCTCTTGTGTCCCACAGAGGTGCGTCTCATGCAGTTTCACGAGCCGGACATCTACAACTATTCAGCCTTGCTGCTGAGCGAGGACCAGGATACCTTGTACATAGGCGCCCGGGAGGTGATCTTCGCTGTGAACGCACTCAACGTCTCTGAGAAGCAGCACGAGGTATGTCCTGGGCTCCCCTGTGTGTCCACACAGCCTGGCTTGAGTGGGGAGCCTCTCTTGGCCCCACTGCAGGGCTGAGGGCTGACTTACCTGGAGCTTCCGTCCTGTAGCTGTGACCGTGCAGCGCCATCTTTGGGTGTCCACCAGCAGCTCACCCAGGGACCACGCTCTTTTCATTTTTTGTTTTTCAACTTTTTATTATGGAAAAAATCTCAAACATACCTATGAGTAGAGACAGCTGTGCCATGAGCCCTGTATGCACTGCAGCTTATGCAAGGCCAGGTGTTCAGTCCTGCCCACAGTGCCTGCCACCTCCTGGGGCACTGAGGCAGACCCGACACCACATTCTTCATCTGGGTATCTTCTTATTGGAAAGGGCTGCTTGTCATGCAGGTAACCAAAAATAGCGTCTCCAAAATTTACGTTGTCATACATTCAGCCAGCGTTCAGATTTCACTGACTCTTTCGTAGATGATGCTTGTTTAGCTTGTTCAGATCAAACGTTTAGTCTGAATCGGGTTGCAACCAGGCTGTTCCTGTCCATTGCAGCTGGTCACCGTGTCCGTTCAGTCTCCCCTTCTAGGAGCCAGCCTTGGTTTCCTTCCTAAGAAAGCCACTCTGTGCAGCCCATCCTGTGTCTCAGCCTTCACATTGCTTTTGAGTCACCACAATGTCTTTAAACATTTTTAAAAATCAAATCAAATTTGATTGTAGCTCACTGCCGCCTCAAGCTCCTGGGCTCAAGTGATCCTCCTGTCTCAGCCTCCTGAGCAGCTGGGACTGTAAACACGTGCACCACACCCAGCTCCATTCACTATTGAAGTCTAGATACTCTTCTCATCAAAGATTGCTAAACACAATGTTCTGATTCTACCCCTCTTTTTCCACTTGTTAGCTGGAAATCATATACAAGGGTAAATGCCCATTACCAGCTCTTTTGGTCTGTAGAGGTCCCAGTTCCTTTGGGAAATGCAGAATCGATGCTTGGAATCTTTGCCTTTGTTTACCAGTTTTCAGAATAATGAGTTAATGAGTCAGTTTCCCCTCTCAAGGGCAAGAGTGAGTTTTTTAAATTGATTTTTAGTGTCACAGTGAACTCATGGATTTAAACATATTTGCGGTGCTTTGACTCATCACAGTGAAATCCCTACCGCATGCTCAAATTGTCACATTCATGGCCACCAGCAGCCTGTGTGGGTTGGCTCCTGAGACCTCGCGGTGTGGGGTAGTTTCCTTTCTCTCTGGAATCTATTCCAGGTTCATGTTGGACATTTTTCGCCCAGATCTCTTTTTGTTTTCATCTCCAGGGTCTAGCTTATTTCTCAATTTCGGTTTGACACATAAATGGGCTTCTGAGCATTATGCTCTAAAAACAAAGTATTCAGCTGGGTGCAGTGGCTCATGCATGTATTTCCAACACTGGGAGGCCGCAGTAGGTGGATTGCTTGAGCTCAGGAGTTCGAGACCAGCCTGGACAACATGGCGAAACCCTGTCTCTACAAAAACTACAAAAAGTAGCCAGGTGTGGTGGCTCAGGTCTTGGGAGTCGTCTGAGGCAGCAGCAGGATCACTTGAGCCTAGGAGGTCGAGGCTGTAGTGAGCCGAGATCATGCCACTGCAGTCCTGCCTGGGCAAGAGAGCGAGACTTTGTCTCAAAATACAAAAACAAAGTATTTTGCACTGTGAGGAACTCTGAGCAGAAGGATATGGTGGTCTCACCTCACTCAGCTCGTATTCTTGGTGTGTCTGTTAAATTCTCCTCCTCTGAGCGCCTTTCTGACCACGCAGGCTCGCTCTCAGTCTTGCGGGAATTGTGGACGTGGGTGTTTGTGCTGGCCTCACAGGTGGTCAGTGAGAGCCAGCCATTGCTCTGTGAATGACGCCATGGTGGTCATTCAGGGTTGGGGACCTCTTAAACTTAAAAAATAAAGGCACCCCAGCCAAGCATCCTTAAAAATCGTAGTCAAGGGCCTGTTGAAGTGCACATTTCCTTGTCCCTTAATGCAAGTTGATGAAATCATCTGTACTTTAAATGCTGGAGGAAGTTGCTATTTTAAATGACACTTTTCTGCTTTTGTGTGTCCTGATCGGGACTTCCATTTTCCTGAGAAGACATTCCCTTGGTACTGTGTCTGCTGCCTGGGTGCTGTGTAGGTACCCACTGAGTTGGGTAGACACCTAGAGTGGGGCTCCCCTCCTCACACTCGCCCCCCTAAAAGCCCTGTGTACCTCCTAACCTCTGAGACCTGACACCCACTACAAGCCTCTGGGTGGAGAACAACGTATTGTTACTGGTTTCTTTTGTATGAGTTAGGGAGCATCATGGAGAGAGATGGGGCATTTTGAGGAAGGTAAGTCAGGGATAGGTATAGAAGCCTCTGTTCTTTCCCTTTTGTCTTCTGTTGCTTTCTATCCTATGGGGGCTTTGGAGGGCAAGGGGCTAAGGTCCCCACCCTTGACAGTTTCTGATCACGAATTGTCCCTGGTTTGAAAGAAGAGGTGGTAGGATCATGGATCTTAACTAAGATGGTTTCTGAGCTGAGCTGGTGGTGGTACTTGTTGTCACTTCCCCCTGCTGCTGACATGCAAATGGAACGTAATTGTTTCTTTCCACTGGTACAGTGAATATTGAGGCTTTTTTTTTTTTAAACCTAGACTGTAGAGTTACTTTTTTTTTTTTTGAGGCAGAGTCTTGCTCTGTCGCCCAGGCTGGAGTGCAGTGGCGCGGTCTCGGCACACTGCAACCTCTGTCTCCTGGGTTCAGGCGATTCTCCTGCCTCAGCTTCCCAAGTAGCTGGGATTACAGGCATGTGCCACCATGCCAAGCTAATTTTTGTGTTTTTAGTAAAGACAGGGTTTCACCATGTTGGCCAGGCTGCTCTCGAACTCCTGACCTCAGATGATCCGCCTGTCTCAGCATCCCAAAGTGCTGGGATCACAGGTGTGAGCCACCATGCCTGGCCTGTAGAGTCACTTTGAATGGATGGAAAAAAGCCCACTTTGATGTATGAAGATACTTACGGTTTAGGTATTTCACAAATAATTTAATTTTCTCCACTTTCACTAGTTTGATTTTTGCTGCTGTTTTGTGGTGTGTGATGGAAATTTGGGAGCTGGTCTTCCAGATTCCACATGTTTCAGGATAAGGATCACAGTAAGGATGTTCATGAAGGCCCCAGGCTGTTCCCCTGCTCTCTAAACCTCCCTTGCAGTCTGAGAATTGATCATCTCAGGAGAAAGCTCTAGGCTCTAAACTCGAATATGTTTTTTAAATGTGCATTTTTATGCTAGTATCTCTTTAAAAGAATATGCACTGAAATGGACTCTTTCCCAACAGGTACATTGGAAGGTCTCAGAAGACAAAAAAGCAAAATGCGCAGAAAAGGGGAAATCAAAACAGGTAATTTCTTTTGTAAGCTACAAAAAAATTCCATGCAAGTGTTTCATGGTTGTTTCAATCTACTGAATGCCAGGACTCCTGCAGGTCAGGCGTTTTCTCCAGTTTCTGTTCATTCTGCTGGGCTTGGTTACATTGTTGTGATGCGTCTTGGAGCTCATCCCTCTATTCCTGGGTATCAGGGTTGGGTTTCTCAGAGCAGGTGCCAAGTATAGTCAGCCTTTGGGAAATATTTTTTTAAAGTTTATATGAATTGAATGTATTCAAATGGCCTGAAACTTTGACTAGAGTTTGACTTCTGAAGCCCACTGTGAATGGTATAGAAATTCAGGGTTGCTTCTGCTTCCCTTCACACAGAGGCCTTAGGCTTGGAGGGATGGTAGGCATGCAGTTTTTCTCAACCCCTTCACTGGACTTGTGACAGGGGTGCCCCATTTATTCGGCCTACTGTGCTCAACCTCTTGGGGGGCAGGAGGGAGCACGTGAGCGAACGAGTGAAAGATCTGGGTGGCTAGCTGGCTGTTTTGGGTGCCAGCAGGAGCAGGCTTTGTGTGGGCCCTGTGGCTGTACCCAGGTTGGGGTGCCTGTGGCCCCCCAGCCCCAGAGGGCATGTTACAGTGCTCTCTTATCTCTGCTCTCTGTGGACAATGGTGTGTTACAAGCTCAGTGGCCTCTGCCAGTAGGACAGCCTTTTTTGGGTACCCACATTCAGTGGATCCTGAGCTCTTGTCTGGCGTCCAAGAAGAATGAGGTCACATGGACACTTGAAGGATGGTGGAGTTAGAAAATTTTGTTCAGTGATGAAAGTGGCTCTCAGCAGAGAGGGTGACTGGAGAGGGAACAGGACAGGCAAATAATCTTCCCTAAAGTCTGGCCGTTTATGGCCAGCTCTTCTCCAAAGTTAAGCCATTTCTCCAAAGTCCATCCGTCCCTCTGAAGTCGTCACCTCTCTCCAGTCCAGCCCCTTCTCTTCTCTACCATCTGAGTCTGGGGTCTTTATAGGCTCAGGATGGGGGACAGGGTGGGCTGCTATAGGTTTTTATGAAAAAGGCAACATTTGATTGTAAAAAGGCATTATTCAGAAAGAACCAGTCACGAGAGAGCAGACAAACAGAAGTTCTCACTCTGGGCTATAGGTTTCAGGCTTTTTGGCTCAAAGGTGGGGCTTTTGCCAGGGACCTGCCCCTGTCTGCCTAGACTTTCTCTGCTTCCTTTCTCTATCACTGCGACTTTTGGATTCTTGGCACACATCTGTCCCTTTGGTCCCTCCCAGGACTTTCATTGAGTACAAAGCGGGGGAGCAGGGCAGGTGGGGCGAAGCATTGGTGGTCAGTGATAGGGTCAAGTAAATCACGTGCCTTGGACATAGGGGCCTAGGACTTTCAAGTAACCGAGGCGAGGTGAAAATTTAAGCATCAGCGCTTTTCACATACTTGTCAAAAATATCAAGGACATTAAGATTTATGTTACTATTACTAATTCTTATCTTCTAAGGAAAAGAGAATCCAGGTGCAGAAGTGGAACATGAAAGTGAACATGGAACATGACCACTGAAGTGCAGCATCACATAGAGACAGTTAAGCCCCCAGCTGTCTGTGGGCCTCCCTGACAGCCGTCAGGTCTACCGCAAGAGCTTGGAGAAGCGGAATTTTCTCCTAACTCACCCAGGAAGGACATGTCTCAGCCATTTTGGACGTCTCCTTCCCTAGCTAGCTAAACAGTGGGTGTTTTCCCAGTGCTGGTGCTGCTGCACAGTCAAGGTGCCCTCCAGCAGCTCTTACACGGGCGTGACACACGGCTTAGAGCATCTTGCCTTAGGGTCACTTTATTCACAATGTCACCTCCGTTCCATGCTTCATTACCTGATAATCATTGGTAAAATTAAAAGGTTATATTGAGTATATATATATATATCTTTGTGATTTTATGTGAATAACTAAATGATTATATATGATCATATGTAGGAATAACTATGTGCTTATCTTTCTAATTCAGTATTCATATGGGAACAGGCTGAGGCTTCAGACCATTTCCTCTGCACTTGGGGGATTTCCCCCCACAGATGCTAAACACTTGCACTGAAGTCTTTTTCTTCAAATCCAAAGGTAGTTTAGGAAATGAGAGGAAAAGCAGGCAGTGCAGTGCAGCTCCAGTTTCCAGGGGTGTGCAGGTGGGTTGCGGTGAATAGTGAATTACTTCCAACCTGTTTAAAAACAGTCAAGCAAAAAGAGAACTCTCCTAATCTGGGATCATTTCAGACTATAGCACATGTAATCTGAGTACTTTCAGCCTAAAATAGTGGGTTCTGAAATGGTATCTTTGTTTTTCTGCTTGGGCCTTTCTGATGCCAAGCCACGCTCCAGGCTCTCCTATGCAGCCTCTCTGTGGGGGCTGGACTGGAGCCCTGGGTTGGGTAGACCTAGAATTGCTGTTTCCAGTTCTGTGCAAGTGGGAGGCAGGGTGAGGTCTCCAGGAATAAAGAAGGAATTCTGTAGGGTGGACACATCCCCAGGTCTGGCAACAAAACAAATGGTCCATGTACTTAGCAAGAGTAAAATGCATTGCTTTCAACAGTGGGTGTCCCAGTAAGAGTTGAGGTAAGCATTCATTTTTTTAGTCACCACATCTTTGTTGAATATCAATTAGGGACTGAAACAAAATCCTGCTTGGCACCTGAACAGCCTGCGGACATTGCAGAGATACAGTTTCTCAGGCCAGCTTCAGCTTTAGGTTTGCCCAGGGGAGGGATTGGGGTCAGTGACCCTGCCACTGCACGAGAATAGACCAGTATGTGAAGAGGAGCTGCAGAGGGTCTAGATAACAAGACAAGGCCGAGAATGCACACATACCTAGTTGGTCCGAGGTCACGTGTGAGCTGGTGTTGGTGAACGTGGGTCTATGCCCCTGAGATGAACAGCGTGAGCAGTTTGAACAGTGGAGGGCACTTGGGCTAGAAAGTTGCTAATGGTGCATTTCTCTTCCCTGCAGACAGAGTGCCTCAACTACATCCGGGTGCTGCAGCCGCTCAGCGCCACTTCCCTTTACGTGTGTGGGACCAACGCATTCCAGCCGGCCTGTGACTATCTGGTAAGGCTGATGGCTACCTCCTTGTGCTCATGCCAGCCTGGTCAGCAGTAAAAGTAGAAGGGGGCTCAAGGCAGACATAAAGTTGTCTCCACCCTAAAAAAACAATAGGATTTTCTCTGGGCCAGCTGCAGAAAATATGGGCAGCTTGTGGCCCCTCTGAAAGCCTTGCATGACTGCTGTCAGGGGCACTCAGCACACTTGGTTCCTTTAAACGTCGGTGTCCATGGCCAATGGTGAGACCTGGGGTGAGGCTTAAGGTGCTGGGGGCCCTTGGTGCTAGTGCAGAGCATGCCATGGCAGGGAGCTTGCTGGAAAGGACAGACAGCCCGGTCGCTGTGGGCATCTGGGTCAGGTCGAAAAGACAGGAGGAGTGTGCTGGAAAGGACAGACAGCCTGGCAGCACTGGGCATCTCGGTCAGGTGGGAAAGTCAGGACATGCTCCTGGCTTGTGTGTTCTTGGTTGGTGCATCTGTGCTCTGGCTGTGAGATCCACCCTTCAGGTGGGCTGTGGTATGCAGCTTGCTCACTCAACCACTCCTGGGTTCGCCCACTCAGGGGCAGCAGGTCGAGTGTTGAGCTCCTTGAGAAGAAGGTCTGGCCTCTGTCCCTCACCGTGTCCCATTCTTGACTGCCCAGCCTGGTGTCTGGCACCTCCCCCTGTGTGAGGGTCCTTTCTATCAGATAATCTGATGAGCAACGTGATGATCGTCAGAAGAGAGGGGGAAGGAGCATTTTTAAAAAGTCCATGTGAATGTAGAAAATGAAGCATGTTTTTGACTGTGTGTCCCTGGATTTTAATGAGTCCTGATAAATGCAAAATATGCCACAGTGAATCATTTGCTAGAACCCTAAATGAGTTGGAATTAAAATATTTTCCAATCTTAAGTCAGAAATAAATGACAAGACAACGTATGGCCTTGTTAGAGACTTGCTGAGGAAGCCTGGTATTTGCACACAGACATCTGGGGTGAGATTCATAGCAGGGGTCTACCCAGTTGCCTGTACCACAGATGCTGGCAGTGAAAGCTCATAGAGGGTGGGGGGTGCTTTGGGGATGGTAAGACCCTCAGTCCTCAAAGACAGTCATTTGTATTTGCTTTTGCGCAAAAAATGCAGTTGGATTAGGAACATTTTGCACATCAAAGGATTTTTCTGGCTAAACACAATCAGGAGCTTAAAGTTCTGTCATTTAAACTTACATTCCGTAGACAGGTTAGTTGTTGAAGTTAGAGGATAGTGTGTTTGGTTTAAATTTAGAGCTATAATTTTTCCTAATATTTTTAATAAAAATTTTCTCACCTGCAGAAAGGTCATATCACTTGTGTATACTGGCAACCTAGGTTACACAGTTGGGAGCCCATGTCTGCCTGTGCATGTCTGTGTCCACATGTGTGTCTGTATGTGCACATATGTGTGCTTGCTGCACTATGACCCATGACTCCCAAATGCCTTCACAGGCGTCTCATAAGAATAGTGACATTTTCCTGTGTAACTCCAGTTTTATCATTATTGCTAAGAAAATGTTCAATAATTCCCCAGTATCCTCTGGTCTCCAGTCCCTTTTCAGATTTCCTCAACAGCCTCAAACCTCCTTTCTGATAAATGGTCACATCGAGTGGAGTTCACATTCCCTAACCTAATAGGTGAAGAGCCGTGTGTTGTTTTAATTGGCCTTTCAGGGGTGTCAGCTACGGCATTCCACATGGCCTGAGCTTTCCTGCTCTCTGAGAGTGTGTTTCCAGCCAGCCTCTTGCGGCAGAGGTGCTGGGTGTCCTCACCCTGCCATGGGCCATGACCGTTTTCTTCAGCTTCCCCAGGCTGTCGGCTGCCAGGCGGCATCCCCACACATGTTCTGTGTGCACTCTGGTTCCCGGCACCCTCAGCCTGCCTCTCTAGTCTGTGCTGTCGAGATGTGTTTCTTCTGCCACTTGCTGAGTGTTGGCTATTTTTCTGCTGGATGCTCTTTCTCGCTCATTTGTCCACACTTTTCACATGTTCAGGGATAGAGACACCTCATCTGCCATTCTGTGGGCATTTTTCCCCCTTGCCGTGTTACTTCCTTGCGTGGAGCTTTCCAGTTCTCTCTGTGGTTGGCTCTGTGCATGTTTTCCTCGTGTGGCTGTGGGTGCTCTGGCCAGGTAAAGAGATGACCCCTAGATGGAAATGCCAGCCCCTGCTTCATTTTAGTGTATTGCTGTTCCGTTTTTAGTAATCAGATTGTTGCTTCATCTGGTATATATTTTAGTGAGTGGAGCGCGGTAGGGATTCTGCCTGTTTACATTTTTTGATTTCCTATTTATCGGGTAATCTAGCTTCTTAGAATGCCGTCTTTATTGATGTTAAAATTCCGCACCAGGGCTTCCACTCACATACTGAGTGTTCTGTATTTGGTTTGTCCTGGCGACTTTCCAGCCCTAGAGCCATCAGCGTTGCCATTTCCATTTGCAGATGAGTATCCTGAGGGTCTGAGATCTTGGGAATCTTGGCCAGGGCATTGAAGCAAGGGCACCAAGGTGCTCATGTCCAGACCCAAGCTGAGCAACACACAGCCTGGCTCTGGTGGGCGGGACTCCCGTGGCGCCACACCCATCTGTGGCCCTGTTGGTCTTCCGAGAATAGCAAATTTGTAAAATTAAATGGTACAGAGACACATTATTACCACAGAAATTCAGCCATTTGATGAGGTATTCTCTTTTTATTCAATTGTAGAGTTTAACATCCTTTAAATTTCTGGGGAGAAATGAAGATGGCAAAGGAAGATGTCCCTTTGACCCAGCACACAGCTACACATCCGTCATAGTTGGTGAGTCCTGCCCCTCCAATTCCTTCACCCAAAGATTACAGTGGCATGTTAATTACCAAACAGGATATTCGGATCTTCTGTGAAGTCCTGTCTTCCTTGGCTTTGTTTAAATACAAGCTATCCTTACAAAAGACACACGTATCTGCTCAGACACTAATTTTGAATTCATTGTTCACAAAGATAATAGCTGCCATGGTAAATGTCACTTTGTATCCATCGCTGGCTCATGTCATTTGGATAATGCTAGCATGGTGAGCAGATGCTCCTGTTTGAGAGGGAGGTTTTGACCAAGCCACATGCTGTCTGTGGTCTTGCACCCCTGAGCAAGTGGCCTTAGCCTCGTGTGCACCAACTGTTGCATCTGCCAACATTTTCCTGGATGTGGGAGTTACTTGCTTGTGTTTACTTATTGCCCCACAGCTCTTAAAATGCAGCTGAACGTGGAGCATAAAATTATCCTCATCAAAGTGAGAGCATGCCTGTGGTCCTAGCTACTTGGGAGGCTCAGGTGGGAGGATAGGAGTTTGAGACAAGTCTGGGAAACAGCAAGAATTCACCTCAAGCCAGGCACTGTGGCTCACACCTGGATCACTGGAGGTCAGGAGTTTTGAGACCACCTGGCCAGCAGGATGAAACCCTGTCTCTACCAAAAAATACAAAAATTAGCTGGGCATGGTGGCCTGTGCCTGTAGTGCCAGCTATTCTAGAGGCTGAGGCATTAGAATGACTTGAACTGGGAGGTGGAGGTTGCAGTGAACCGAGATCGCACCACTGCACTCCAGCCTGGGCAACAGAGTGCGACCCTGTATCAAAACAAGAAACCTCATCTCGTAAAAGAAAGAACTAGAAGACACAGGATACCCCAGAAGTTGAGGAGACTGTCTTTCCCTTTCCCCGGGGTGAGGGTGGGGGCTTAATTGGTTTATAAAGGGAACCACTGTGTTGAATGTCTGTCCCAGTGTTGGTGCCACAGCCTGAGAGGTTGGTTCCCTTTTCCTCTTTTCTCCTGGTCCCCTGCAGATGGAGAACTTTATTCGGGGACATCGTATAATTTTTTGGGAAGTGAACCCATCATCTCCCGAAATTCTTCCTCTAGTCCTCTGAGGACGGAATATGCAATCCCTTGGCTGAACGGTAAGGAGGAGCAGTGCACCTCAGCGGGAGGTGTGGTCTCCTCGTGAGCATGCACCCATTGATCTCTCCTTTTGCTGTCTCTGAGCCCTGAGGGCCCCTGAGCTTGTGTCAGCCCCTGTTTGCGGGGGTTGGGGGGGACACTTCCCGAATTGCTCAGCAATGGCCAGAGTCCCAGGGTGCCTTGTTTGCTGTTTTCTCTGCTAACAGTGTACTGTCTTAAGACGGCTCCCCGCTAACCCCCAAAAATGGATTTGGGAGACTCTCATAAAAGTGAGAATCTGATAGTAAATGGTAAACTCAGACTAATCGAATGGGGACATGGTGTAATTTCCAGAGTGATATTAAAGTGTGGCATGAACACTGGTGTGGGCCCTGCCTCCAGGCCAGCCTCTAGCACCCGGTTGGATGGGCTCTGGGTGCCTTGTTGCTGCCAGCAGCACGTGTCTGATTTCCATCTTAAATGTGCAGGAAGAAGCTGGTGGCTGTTCATGGGGTCTTTTCTTCTGTGTGCCAGCCTGCAGAGCCCTGGATTTTGAACCTGTTGACCTCAGGGCAGATCCCAAGACCCAAGATTCAGGGACAGCTGGCTATTCCTCAGGGTGGGGCAGGATCTGGTGGTTAGAGTTTGTTTATTTGAAGCATGTGTTATTTCAACCTGCAAATGCATACCTTATGTAGGTCTGTGATACTGATACCATCTGGTTCCCTGCCTTGTAATCAGAAGGCCCAGCCTCACTTCTTCAGGTGGGCCTGGGTAGGATGTGCTCCCCAGAACCACTATTGAGGGCATCTCTCTGAGGCCAAGGAGGTGGGGGTAGGGCACCCTTTGGACTCTGTGCTATCATCATTCCTGGACCCTGGGATTTCTGCTTGGGTTATGGCATGTGCACACTCCAGATATCCTTGCAGGGAAGCCCTCAGGCCCCCGAAGGCAGTGCAGGCCAGCCTGGTGACCTCGTGGGTGCAGGCAGTGCCCCAGCTCTGTGTTCCGGGATAACGGCTGACCTCTCTCTGCAGAGCCTAACTTTGTGTTTGCTGACGTGATCCGAAAAAGCCCAGACAGCCCCAACGGCGGGGATGACAGGGTCTACTTCTTCTTCACAGAGGTGTCTGTGGAGTACGAGTTTGTGTTCAGGCTGCAGATCCCACGGATAGCAAGAGTGTGCAAGGTGAGTGCCAGGCAGTCTGGCTTTGCTTGGCCCCTGCCTTGGCAATAGTGTGCCTGGATGATGAGTGCTCTGATCTTTATCTGAAATGTCACTTTTCCTAGCACTTTATTCCCTTGGGCCTCAGATGCCCCTCTCAATAGGCCTTATTTCTGGGGGTTGTGGGGACTGGAGGAATGCTGGCCTCCTGTTCTCAGGAGGTTCTGTTTTTTGATGCAACCTCCTCAAGCCTCCCCAGTGTATAAAAAGCAAGACTTTGTGGAATATATTCACCAGAGTCTGTTGGAATTTCACCATTTGCCTCTTAATCTACCTAAGAGTGAAACATTAACTGACAGCTTAAGATTAAGAAGAGAGAACCAAGACTGCCAAAACACAAAGCTTTAGGTACATACTGGGGGAGGGAGGGTGCCTTTAAAGTGACACACTGAAGGCGCAGTGCTCAGCACAAGAGAACAGCCTGTGGGCTTGACTGTAGGAAATCTCAAGGCTGCTCAGTGGCGGTTTCTGGGAGGTGGATTGTCAGGCCTCAGAGGAGCCATGGGAAACCACGAGAGCCAGCTGCCGTGTCCCTGGCCAGGTGCTCAGCTCGGAGCAGGTAGCTGTTCATCCCTCGTGGAAATTGTTATATGGTTCCTGCGTGGCCCTTTCTCATATAGTGATGACCATCAGGACATCAGAGAAGCAGGGGTTCCTTTCATGCCTATGGCACACAAAGTGGGTGCTTTTGATGCTGTTCCCTTAACAACCCCTCACATGAAGAAGGTGGGTGATATGCACACCAGAGTATCCACCTGGTGCTTTGCCTCTGCCCAGGCCTTCTCTAGCCAGGGCTCACTGACCAGATCCTCTGCCTGTCCCCTAGCCATAGCTGCTATGCTCCTGTCTTGCAGACCAGGAAAGTCTGTCAAAAGTGTGAGTGTAGGGGGCAGGCCAGTGCCCTTTGAGGTGGGGAGGGTGCTGCAGGGCCAGGGCCCTTTGCAGGTGTGCACAGTGAGTGCTCAGAATGTTCTCAGAGCAACACTGGCCGGGGGCTCAAGCTCTCTCCCGCCATCAGGAAGCCAAGGGTCAGACCTGCCTTGACCTTGACTTATCCAGCATTGACGGTTTGCAGCAGGATCAGTGAGCACATCCAGTGAGGCACAGTACAGCCAGCCCCACCCCCCAGCAAATCTCTGCAAGTCATAGGTGCACAGCTGTCATCCCCTCCGATCCCCTTGTATTTTTTCTCCACAATTGTTTGAACTCCTGGACTGGGGTGGTTTGCGCTTGACCCCCATAGCTCCTGCCTTCCACCCAGGCACACATGAACCCTTCGCCTACTCCCCATGACCTGAAAGCCAAAGGAGACCCATGATGAAAAATGGGCTAGAAATGATTCTTTACTAAAACATCAAGGAGCAAAATGAAGTCCTTTTATAAAAACGAGAATGTGGCCTCCTGTAATCACACAGCAGAGATGAAGAGGGAACATCTTCCCTGTGTTCACAATAAATAAGGCTGCTTCTATTTCGTATTCTTCTGCACTCAGATTTTATGGTTTCAGTATTTCTCACCAGACCACACACAGTCATGCATAGTTTATAATTTTGTCTTGGTCATCAGGTCACTGAAAAGCATTTATAAAGAACCTAGTAGGTTCAAAGCACTTTAGCAGACACTTTGGGTAGAAAGGAAGTGAAGGATCTAGTCCTTCAAGGGGAGGAAGGTTTACCCATTTGCCCAAGACAGGCTACAGGGCTGTGGCTGCCCCATGGAAAGAGGCTGCCACCACCTTCCCCACCCAGCGCATGTTCATTGATGGGTCATGTGTCAGGAGTTACACAGGGCCAGGGGCCTTGGCAGTTGGAAGTGTTGAGAACGGAAGCACCTCTACGGTTATAGGACTGAGTGCTGGGCACGTGCAGGCATGGACGATTGAATGAGCTTTCACTGAGCGGGTTTTTGTCCGTTTTGTTTTACCTGTTAACCTGGGAGCATTTGGGGTCCAAGCTGGAACTTGGACGTGGCACTGCAGGCCACACATATAATTGTCTGCAGCCTCTGTCCCCTGTTGTCTGAGCTTTGTTTTACTCAGACACAGCTGCGCCGTACTGGGCCATGGAGCACCTCTGACCTTAGTGCCTGCTCATGGGGGATCCGCCCTTGGCCCACCATGTACTTGTTATTGGGTTTCAGGGGGACCAGGGTGGCTTGAGGACCTTGCAGAAGAAGTGGACCTCCTTCCTGAAGGCCCGACTCATCTGCTCCCGGCCGGACAGCAGCTTGATCTTCAATGTGCTGCGAGATGTCTTTGTGCTGAGGTCTCCAGGCCTGAAGGGGCCTGTGTTCTACGCACTCTTTAGCCCACAGCTGTAAGTGCCCTGGGTGGAGTCCCCCTTGCTGCTCCCCCATGCCTGCCAGGCAGTCCCATCACCTCTTTCCCCTCCCCAGGAACAACGTGGGGCTGTCGGCAGTGTGTGCCTACAACCTGTCCACAGCCGAGGAGGTCTTCTCCCACGGGAAGTACATGCAGAGTGCCACAGTGGAGCAATCCCACACCAAGTGGGTGCGCTACAATGGCCCGGTACCCAAGCCTCGGCCTGGAGCGGTGAGCTGGGGCATTGGGGGCGGGCCATGCTTTTCCTTTTTAACAGTTTATATTCCAGTTTATTTTCAAGGCCCAGAGCATGGAGCCTAGTGCAGGCACTGGGGCCTGCCCATGGGCTGGATACCTGGCCATCGCCGGGCTCTCTGCGTTAGGACTGGGAGGGTCAATGACCACAGCTCATTCTTCTTCCCTTTGTATGTCACATAACAGCAATTGCTACACTATTGCACAAACAAGAAGGCCATGATGCTGGGGCAGCTGTTTTGCAAAATTAACATTGCATAACAAAAAGGTCAATTTCATTTTCAGTTTCTTACAGAGAAACACATGATTTCTGGGCACAGGCCTCTGCACTGTCCACTAGTCAACAGCAGTCACGTTTTTTCCTCCTAAATATAGTGAACTTTGTGTAGAAATTGGGGATTTCCAGTCCAGTTCCCTCCCTCACATGGTGAAATGTGTGTGTGAGGCATGTGCGTGGCCCTTGGTGGGGCTGTGGCCTGCCTGTGGTGTCCTGGCCCTGAGAGCTCACTGTGGCCAGCACCAGCTCCCTCCCAAGGGCATCTGTCCCTGACACCACCATGGCTCCTTCTGTGCATTGCTTAGTAAAATGTGTTAACTCATGGCCACAAATTTTGGTTTACACACATCAGGGAGCTAGAAAAAAAAACCCTCAGGCTCGTACACTGTTTAAAATTGGCCTGTTTTTAGCAATGTTTGGCATTGTTTTCATGAGAAAGCTGCAAATCAGTGTTCTGTTTTTCAATTTCAAAAGCTCAGTGTTTTTCACTTACAAATCGATAAAGATTCCTTCCCTGAGTATGTATTGTGAAGGCAATTCTCTCTCGCAGATGTGTTTTATAACTGTGTCCTCTGTGGGCTGGGGAGAGGCCACCTTTCTGCATAGTAAAGTGATTCACTGCGACCCTCATTTCAAGGCATGCATTGCATGGTTTCCAGGTTTTGCAGCCCTCGTGCATTGGCTGCTTGTGTGGAAGCGCCCGTTGGGTGTTGGGAGCATAAGCATGTTAACAGCAGGGGATTTTCTCCCTTCAGTGCATCGACAGCGAGGTGCGGGCAGCCAACTACACCAGCTCCTTGAATTTGCCAGATAAGACACTGCAGTTCGTCAAAGACCACCCTCTGATGGACGACTCGGTAACCCCAATAGACAATAGGCCCAGGTTAATCAAGAAAGATGTGAACTACACCCAGATCGTGGTGGACCGGACCCAGGCTCTGGATGGGACTGTCTATGATGTCATGTTTGTCAGCACAGGTGGGTTCCAGCACATCTGTGTCCTTTGGTAGGAAAACTGGGAAATCCAATTATTCTTCTGTGAATGGATCCACTGCCTCCCTCAAGGTGACCCGGGAGGTTTGTGGGAACATGAAAAGATTTCTGAGAAGTCACCACACAGGTATCTTTCAGATCTGGGACCACCAGGCAATTAGGGGTATTTCTTAAAAATAAAAGTGCAAGTCCTGGCCTGTGTCCAGGCTGACCTGGTACAGAGGAGTCCTGGCCGCTGAGGAGTTGGGGCAGTGCCTGTGCAGGGCGAAGGTGTGAGCCAGCCTGGGAGGAGGCGTCAGCCTGGCGTTTCCTAACTGCTGGCACAAGACCACGTCTCGGCCAGGTTTGAAATGTGCCCTGGCATGTGGAATCTGAAACAAGCACTTCTGGAACAGGGACGGGGCCTGGGAGCCTCCCAGCCGACCTCACATGCCCCCTGCCCTCACTGCTGGCCTAGGGCCCTTACCAATGACACCCTGAGGGCTGGTGGAGTGTGGGAGCCCCCTCATATGGCATCCAGTGTCAAACATAATGTTGACTGTTGATGAGGATTGTTGGGGTCCACCGTGGAACTGTCTGCTTTCCATGGAAAAAACTGGAATAACCCATGACACTTGAGTTTCCGATAGTTTATTTTGCCACAGGCTTTTCCATTTTTTGTTTCTAATGCAAAATCATCGTTTTCTAAGTAGCTTGTTGAGGGAATGACTTGAGAGTAAAGAGTGTGAAGTTTGCCACTGTGGTCACTGTCATTGGTTTCTGTGTCTGGGTTAGTGTCACTGATTTGTAGCTTTGACCCTGCAGACCGGGGAGCTCTGCACAAAGCCATCAGCCTTGAGCACTCCGTGCACATCATCGAGGAGACCCAGCTTTTCCAGGACTTTGAGCCGGTCCAGACCCTGCTGCTGTCTTCAAAGAAGGTAAAGTGACACAGGCAGCCAGACCAGGAGGCTTCCCCACTCGGTGGCTTCGATTCTGGGTGATCTGAGAGTTACCAAACTGGGGTCAGGCTCCTAGGCAGGCCCCTCTGTCTGTCTGCCTTGGATGAGCAGACCTTCAGCCATTCAGTGAGCTGTGGGATCTGAACTGGGAAAGGCAGGAAGGCAGACCTGGGGAGACAGGACTTTCTCTTCAAAGTTGCTGGAATGTCATTGAGTTGTTTGATGCAGGTTTACAGGCTGTGGAGAGGTGGGTACTGCTCCGTGAAAACATCTTTTTGTACCCTGAGCTTGGGGTGTGTGCAGACTGCATCTGTGGGGTGTGATAGTGGTAACAGCTGACTCATCACCATGGAAACTCCTCAAGAGAAGTGGTTTGTCTCATCTGTAAAGCTCTCTCCACCTGCGGCTGAGAATCTCTGCTCTGGCCTGCAGTAGTCCCAAGCAGCCCTTGGCAGGGTGGGTGGGCATCCACATTGGCCTTTAGGGGGCTGCCTCCCTGGACCTGGCTCCTGCCAGGATCTCCACCCACCCTGTGGGGTCCAGGCCCAGTCAGGCCCCTCCTCCCTCAGCTGGGAGCAACAGGTAGAGGAAGGGGCCCCTGCCTGGCCAGGTAAGAACAGAGCTACCCTTGGCAGTTGCGTATTTGCAAATGCCCCTCCAGGTCTCCCATCCTCTTCCCTCTCATGTATCCACAAAGCTTTGGGAGCCTGGGTCCTTTTACGTGGTCACCTCCTGTCTCTGCTAGTGGAGAGTTCTCCTTCAGTTCTGAAAGGGAAAGAGAATGAAATAGCCTGAGTGAGTTATAAGCCGCCAGGTACTTGGCATCTGTTCCCCAGCCCCTCTGTCTCCAGGACACACAGGGAGCCCTGGAAATTTGAAGGGTCGACGCTTTAGCCACTGGCCCCGGGGCCTCATCCCAGCCTCATTGTTGAAAGAAGGGGACCCAGAAGCTCTTCTGGGGTCTTCGTGCTGTTCCATGGCCTCAGCCAGACTGGGCAGGCACCTATAATGTCTCAAAACTATGGACTTCTCATTAAAGATCAGGCCCCTGGTGTGGACATTTGTGAAAATGATACTCTGTTCCAGGGGTCACTTAGGGACCTGGACTGGCAGAGGCTTCCAGGGCACCTGGGCACTGGTCCTCAAAGGCAGAAGAGGGTAGGGAGAGGAGGGCCACATGGAGGGCGTTATGGGTCATGCTCACCTGCCATTACCCAAAACTCAGTCACGTGGCCACACCAGGGTGGCTGGCCACAAAGGAAGCCTTGTGGTGCACAGGAGGAGGAGCAGTAGGTTTGGGGAAGCGCTTGCTGGTCCTACTGGATCACCTGACCTGCCTGTCTCTGTAGTAGCCTGTATTCGTGGGGACGTGGCTTATTGCCTGGCCAGGCAGGAATGTATCCTGCCTGCCGTGGGGTCCTGTGCCTTCTCCTTGGGCCCCAGCAGGCTCCAGGTGTGGGTGGAAGGCTCAGCTCTATGGCCATGGGAGCAGGAAGTGGCTGTTCAGTGGTAAAAAGACTGGATCCCCTTGGGGCAGGCCTTCCCCCAACAGCCCACCCCACCCTCCACCACCACCCTCAAGCCTCTCTTTGGGGTGAGGAGTCAGGCAGGCCCTGCTTGGCCACCCAGGGCACCCTGCTCTGCACTTCATGGTGTCCACGACACCTTGCATGTGTCCCCCACAGGACCCAGTAGGACAAACTGGCCTTTGGAACTTACCCAGCTTGGCTTTGCTGCCAGAAAACATTTCCGCCACCTCCACAAGCTGTGCGATGCCTGAACTGTGATCTGGGATGTCATGCTCAGTTCTTCCCACAAACGCGGCACACATGTGGCCTCATCTGCCCAGGTCTCTGCTGCTGCTGCTGTGAGGCCGGTGCCAGGCCAGGTTCCCTCTGCTGTGTGTCGTCACAGTTTCCATCCTTGGGGGGCTTTTCGTTTCTCTCATGGATCTCTGCCCGCACAGCCGGGTGTGTGGCCCGGGGCCTACTGTGTTGGCGCCAGGGCCTGTGATCCTTCAGCCACACTCTGTAGTTGACCCCAAGCGTATCCTCTGAAGATGAAGGCCGTGTTTCATCTGACTATAAGCCACTAAGTTGTGTGTAAATTTGGGAATCTTGTATTATCAACCAAAAGGTGTTCCTAGGGTGTGGAGGCAGATGCCCTGGGCAGAGGCTAGAGAGTGTGCTCCATGGGCCGCCTCTGGGTCTGCTGCAAGCCCCCGAGCTTCAAGTGGGTGCAGTGTGTGGCACCCTCCTTCCAGCTGAGTTCTGTTAAAAAGCCATCAGCAGTCCTGATTGCCTGTGTGCTGGGCACTGCTGGTGGGCTGAAGGGATGGACCTGAAGCCAGTGTCACTGGGAGCCAGTTGTCCCAAAAGGTAGGAGAGTCTCATCTACTCTCTGCTGTGGGCATGGCTGCAGCTGCTCTGGAGCTTGGAGGTTGATTTCCCATCTTTGAGTTCTTCCCATTTACATGTAGACACGTGAAAAGCAAAAGGCATCGTTCTTCCTTTTATGTTATCAAGTCCTCATCCTTCGCAAGTCATCCATTCGGCATCCCTGTTACGTTAGGCCCCTGCTGGGTCCAGACTCTCACCAGAGGCTCCCTGCCCACAGGTGCTCACATGCTGGCTCTGGGTACAAGGTTGGGCTTCTAGTGGTGTGCCTCAGCCTCTGGCTGCAGCCCCTTCTCACCTGTGGTGAGGCCGAGAGGATGGCCGGGAGTGTCAGGCTCATGCACCCCCCTCTACATGGAGAGTTCCGGATGTGGGGACTAAACAGCCTGCCCCCAGCTAAGAGAAAGACATGCAGAGAAGCGCTCTGCTGGCAGGCAGGACCTGAGCAGTGGGTACCCACACAGTGGGGAGAGGGCTTTGGACACAAGGCCCAGTGATCCCTGACGTAGCACGTGGATTCTGCCAGGAGATCGCAGACCTGCCTTGTTTTCCTCTGGTTCTGAGTACCTCTCCTCCTTACTGCAATGTCCCCTGAAGGTGTGCTCTGGGCGCTTCCCACACACTGGTGCAGAAGCAGAGGCCTGCTGCTGGATGCCTGTTTGCCTGACACCAGTTGTCCTGTTTCACACTTGCAGGGCAGGAGGTTCGTCTACGCCGGCTCTAACTCGGGTGTGGTCCAGGCCCCACTGGCCTTCTGCGGGAAGCACAGCACCTGTGAGGACTGTGTGCTGGCACGAGACCCCTACTGCGCCTGGAGCCCACCGACGGCGACCTGCGTGGCTCTACACCAGACCGAGAGCCCCAGCAGGTACAGGGCGGGGTGTGCTGCCCGTGGATGCCCCCTGTGTGTGCAGGTGAGTAACACGTGCTGGTTGCTTTGCAGGGCTTTGATTCAGGAGATGAGCGGCGATGCTTCTGTGTGCCCGGGTGAGTGGCTCCTCGACGTCCCGTTTCCTTTGGGAGTGGCGAGGTCCTGTAACCATTTCACAGTGCTTCAGTGCTGTGGCATTTGTGTGTATTTTGTTTTTCTTTCTCCGCTTGGAGTAGAGGTCAAGTTCCTGGAACAGACTCGTGGTCTTCTCTGTCTTTTTATTCTTGCCAAAAGAGTATTTGAAGCCATTTAGAGTGCATCTGTGTACTGGAAAGCAGTCTTCCAAAACTGTCCTGTTTTCTTTCTGCTTTGCTTGGGGCTCATTAAATAAAACCTAAGCTTATTATAAATGGGGAGAAAGGAGCCCATGGGTGGTTAATCCTCAGGCAGTGGAGGGGCTGGAGTGGTGATTCTCCTGGGGCTGCAGTCTGGGATTTACCCACCTGTGGCTGTCTGTAATAGCACCATGCCCAGAGGGAGGGATGGAATCAGGCCAGGATGCCCCATCCCCAGAAGCCACCTTCCAGGGTGATAAAGGCAGACTTGACCCTTGGTTCTGTGTCCTCCTGTCCCTGACAAGGCAGCTGTCATCAGACTAAGAAAAGTTTAGACATCTGGGCATGGTGGTACACCCCTGTAGTCACAGCTACCAAGGGAGGCTGAGGTAGGAGGATTCCTTGAGCCCAGGGGTTCAAGGCTGCAGTGAGCTTATCGCACCACTGCACTCCAGCCTGGGTGACAGAGTGAGACTCAAACTCTAAAAAGAAAAGAAAAGCTGGCTGAGCACAGTGGCTCATGCCTGTGATACCAGCATTTTAGAAGTCTGAAGCAGGAGGATCACTTGAGCTCAGGAATTCAAGATCACCCTGGGCAGCATGGTGAGACCCCGTCTCCACAAAAAGTACAGAAAGTAACCAGGCCTGGAGGTGCACACCTGAAGTCCCAGCTACCTGGAGACTGAGGTGGGAAGATCCCTTGAGCTGGGGAGATGGGGCTGCAATGAGCTGTGATTGCACCACTGCACTGCAGCCTGGGCAACAGAGCCACACTCTGTCTCAAAAAAAAGAAAGGAAAAAAAGAAAAGTTTAGGCAGGAGGAGAGTGCTGAGATGCACTGAAAGGCCAGCCTTCGTTGTAGCCATTAGCAGAAACGTCTTGTGTCTGATTCAGAGTGCTGATACTAGGCGCAGAATGGGCTCTGCTCAGCCTCCCCAGCCTGATGCATTTTCTTCCGGGACACAGGGGTGAGAAATGGGATTTCTGCTGCTCAGAGCTGCCTCCAATTTCTTTGCCCCCCCTGGGCTGTCATCCAGGGCTCATCTTTGCTTTTTGGTCACGCATGTCTTTATCTCCTTAGTTGTTCTGGAAGATTCCATGTTGCTCCAGTGGGTGAAACTCTTGCGTCATCTTGTGGGTATTAACCTATTTTTTAAAGAAGTTGTTAAGTAGCAAATGGGATTGTTGACACTGTGCACATTTATTTTGATGTTCCAGATAAAAGTAAAGGAAGTTACCGGCAGCATTTTTTCAAGCACGGTGGCACAGCAGAGCTGAAATGCTCCCAAAAGTCCAACCTGGCCCAGGTGTTTTGGAAGTTCCAGAATGATGTGTTGAAGGTCGAGAGCCCCAAGTATGGTCTTATGGGCAGAAAAAACTTGCTTATCTTCAACCTGTCAGAAGGAGACAGTGGGGTGTACCAGTGCCTGTCAGAGGAGAGGGTTAAGAACAAGACGGTCTTCCAAGTGGTCGCCAAGCATGTCCTGGAAGTGAAGGTGCTTCCAAAGCCCGTGGTGGCCCCCACCTTGCCAGTTGTTCAGACAGAAGGTAGTAGGATTGCCACCAAAGTGTTGGTGGTATCCTCCCAAGGGTCTTCTTCCCCGACCCCAGCCGTGCTGGCCACCTCCTCTGGGGCCATCACCCTTCCTCCTAAGCCTGCACCCGCCAGCACATCCTGCGAACCAAAGATTGTCATCAACACGGTCCCCCAGCTCCACTCGGAGAAAACAATGTATCTTAAGTCCAGCGACAACCACCTCCTCATGTCCCTCTTTCTCTTCTTCTTTGTTCTCTTCCTCTGCCTCTTCGTCTACAACTGCTATAAGGGCTACCTGCCTGGACAGTGCTTGAAATTCCGCTCGGCCCTGCTGCTCGGGAAGAAGAAGCCCAAGTCAGATTTCTGTGACCGTGAGCAGAGCCTGAAGGAGACATTGGTGGAGCCAGCGAGCTTCTCCCAGCAGAATGGGGACCATCCCAAGCCAGCCCTGGACACTGGCTATGAGACCGAGCAAGACACCATCACCAGCAAAGTCCCCACGGACAGGGAGGACTCGCAGAGGATCGACGACCTCTCTGCCAGGGACAAGCCCTTCGATGTCAAGTGTGAGCTGAAGTTTGCTGACTCAGATGCAGATGGAGATTGAGGCCGGCTGTGTGTCCCCACCGGCACCTCAGCTGCAGTGCGTCCAGGCGTGGAGAGTTTTGTGTTTCTGCTGTTCAGTATCCAAGTCTCGTGCAGTGCTGCGTAGGTTAGCCCGCGTCGTGCAGACAACCCTAGTCCTCTGTCTATTTTCTCTTGGGTTGAGCCTGTGACTTGGTTTCTCTTTGTCCTTTTGGAAAAATGACAAGCATTGCATCCCGGTCTCGTGGTCCGCAGTCAGTCCGAGCACTCTAAGAAGTCCGGCGGGTGACGCGGAGTTCCTGAGTCCTTTCTGTAGTGGGGGAAAGGTGGCTGGACCTCTGTTGGCTGAGAAGAGCATCCCTTCGGCTTCCCTTCCTCCTAGCAGCCACTAAAAGATAATTTAATTCCAGATTGGAAATCACGTTTTAGTTTATCAGATTGGTAACTTATCGCCTATTGTCCAGATTGGCACGAACCTTTTCTTCCACTTAATTTTATTTTTTTAGGATTTTGCTTTGATTATGTTGATGTCATAGGTCATTTTTTAAATTACAGAAGCAGGTGTTTTAATATTTAAAAGAAGATGTATATCTTCCATATTTTGTTATATATTTGGGATAAAATATGGCTTACTTTGCTTAAGATTCTCAGGGATAAACTTCCTTTTGCTAAATGCATTCTTTCTGCTTTTAAAAATGTAGACATAAACACACCTTGGAGCACACACACCTTTTTCTTGTTTTTATTCTTTGAGGGAAGCATCGTTTTTGGAGAAATTTTCTTTCTGCACTTCATTTTTCTTTTTTTTTTAACTTTTACTCTCTCGAAGACGAGGACCTTCCCAAGTCCGTGAGGTGGGTTTTGAGCAAGGCAAGGTGACCCGGGTGAGCTGGTGGAGCCAGGCTGGCCCAGAGCTGAGACGGGGAGGGCGGTACAATCTGGTGCCCACAGCTGTCGATCTGATCCTCCCATTGAGACAGACAGAACCTTCCAAGGACGCCTTTGGTTCTCTGAATATCTCCTTTCTCTTCTTGCTTCAATTTCATACCTGCTGCCTGTGCAGACTCTCCATCCGGACTCCCTGAGCTGCCCACCCCTGGAAGGCAATGGGCCCCTTCGAGCGCACGGCGCTGTTCCTGGCCCTGTCCTGAAGATATGAATGGGTGGTACGATTTCAACGCTGGTTAATTTCATACTCCATCTCCCTGCTTTGTAAATACCCATCAGGAAGAGACTTTTTCCATGGTGAAGAGCAATAAACTCTGGATGTTTGTGTGCGTGTGTGGACCGTCTCGTCTTCCAGCATGATAGGATTTGACCATTTTGGTGTAAACATTTGTGTTTTTATAAGATTTACCTTGTTTTTATTTTTCTACTTTGAATTGTATACATTTGGAAAGTACCCAAATAAATGAGAAGCTTCTATCCTTGATTTGGGGAAGACGTTCCTTAGCAGAGGCTGTGCAGCCTCCCGCCTCTGCATGGCCCAGGCGGGACAGCTGGGCTTGCTCTTTTCTGTCTGTTTCCTGCTGTGTTGTGCCCTCTCTGGCCTGGGACGTGCTCCTGGCGACTTCTTCCTCAGTGCCCTCTCTTTTCTGTCCTCTGTCTCACAGCCTCATCTCCTAAGCCCCTCCCTTCTCCTGGCTCCTCCTCCCTGTCCTGTCTGGGCCATGCAGGGGATGGGAGGCCTTCTTCTCCCTGGACCCCCTGGCCAGCCTCGCATGCAGGGCCCGACAGCAGCTCAAGCGTCTCCTTGCTGCCACCCTTCCTGAGTGACCAGGCACAGCATGTGCACGTCTTGGGGACCTTTCACCTCTTCTGCCAGGCCACAGGTGAGTCGGGCCCTCTGTGTGCTCTGTGCCCCATCCATCCGTCTCCTCTGGCAGGTGGGCGGTGGGTGGGGGCATCCTCCACATCCCTCCACGTGTTCCTATACCTTCCTTATCTGTCATGGCTGCATCCCTTGGTTGAGCCATTTCACGCTTTCATTGTGGGTCCATCTGAGGGAAACTGTAAACAGTCAGTGTGAAGCCACTTCTGGTATACAGGGGTCAACCGATGTTTTCTGTAAAGAGCTAGATATTTAGGCCTTGTGGCCACGGGCTGTCACAGCCACTCAGCTCTGCTGTTGTATTATAAAAGCAGCCATAGTCAATATACAATGAGTGGGCAAGGCTGTGTGCCAATAAAACTTTATTTACAAAAATCCATGGTGGGCCTGATTTGCCCCAAAGGCCCCAATTTCCTAACCCATGGTATATTAGGATTTCTTCTCCCTTAAAAAATTTTTTTTCGAGAGACAGGGTCTCTGTTTGTCACTCAGGTTGGAGTGCAGTGACACAATCACAGCTTAGTACAGCCCCTGCCTCCTGGGTTGAAGCCATCCTCCTGCCTCAGCCTCCAGAGCCAGAGTGCTTCTATTTCTGCTCACAATTTGGAGGTTGATATAAGTGGTATTTGGAATTTGTTTTTAAAATTCAGAGCTTCCAGATTAGGCGTTTTAATGACTTGCTTTGTGGTATTTAAAAGCAGAAAAGATTGGGGGGCATAGTCCTCCTGATTTGGGAGGCCAAGGCAGGAGGATCGCCTGAACCTAGGCATTCCAGAACAGCTTGAGCAACATAGCAACATAGCAAGACCTGATCTCTACCCAGAAATGCAAAAAATGAACCAGGCTTGGTGGCACATGCCTTGAGGATTGTTGGAGCCCAGGAGTTTGAGGCACAATGTCGCCACTGCATGCCAGCCTGGGCCACAGAGCAAGACCCTGTCTCAAACGTCACCATCATCATTATAAAATAACAGCAGAAAAGACTAAGTCTAGTGTACTCCCCTGGGATATAGGAGACATTTGCCCTGGATTGGAAAATATTCTGATGGAATGTCTGCTCTTGAAAGATAGCGGAAGGTTCACAACCACACTTCAAAGATGTATCCGGTGCTTCCAGCAGTGCTTGGTGGCCCTGGTGGCCACTGTCTTGTCGTCTGAGTGATCAGTAGATAGAGAAAGAAAGGAAATGGCAACTTAGAGCTTGCCCGGGGGAGCAATGCAGTTAATGAAGAGGAAAAGCAAACCCAATTGCTCCCTTTTTAAACATTTTAAACACACTGTCAGTAGCTCCTGAGAGTTTTAAGGTGCTGCCCTCTCCCGTTAAACAAGCTCTGAGAGCCCCAGGTGGCCCATGTCTGCTGAGCCCAGAATGTCTCTTGGCAGCTGCATTGGACAGGAGAAGCTGCTAGTGTGCATGGAGTGCTGCGGAGACGGAGCTTTGCTGGGCTGGCTTGTGTGGCTCCTGCCCTCCACTGGGTGCCGTGGACCAAGCCTGTGCTGAGCCATCTGTGGCGGCTCTCACAGCTGAATGGTGCTCCTCAGCCAGGTAGTTTGCCTTGGGGCAGGCAGTCCGTATGGCTTCGTGTCTCCGTGGAGCCAGTGTCCTGTCACAGCACTGAAGTCCTTCAGGCAGACCCAGGAAGCTCCTTCCTGGTGGGGAGGCTGGGAAGCGGGCATAGGGTCGCTGTGACCTGGCCATGGACCCAGGGCTCCTTTACTGGCAGGCGCAGGCAGAACGTGTGGTCAGGAGCAGTTATGGTTTTTTTTTTTTTTTTTTTTTTTTTGAGTCGCCCAGGCTAGAGTGCAGTGACACGATCTTGGCTCACTGCAACCTCCACTTTCTGGGTTCAAGCAATTTTCCTGCCTCAGCCACCCAAGTAGCTGGAATTACAGGCACGTGCCTCCATGCCCGCTAAGTTTTGTATTTCTAGTAGAGACAGGATTTTGCCATGTTGGCCAGGCTGGTCTCAAACTCCTGACCTCAGGTGATCCACCCGCCTTGGCCTCCCAAAGTGCTGGGATTACAGGCATGAGCCACCACGCCTGGCCACTGTTATGTTTTAAAATGTGAGGCCCCCAAGTGTGCTCCCTGTAGCTAGGCATGCACACAAGCCCCTGGGGTCACAGGGAATGAAAGACAGGTGCCCAGGGAGAAGGGACTTCGCTGTTACAGCAACAGAAACCACTCCAGGTATTTTAAGCACAGGGAATTTAACACAGGAACTGGTTACAAAGGTGTTAGAAGGGCTGGGAACAAAGTGGGAAGGTGAGGTTTCCATTACCAGCAGTGGGCAGGAAGAGCGAAATGTCAAACACTGTTACTCAGTCTTACTTGCTGTGCCACCGAGGCTGTGGCCTTGTGACCTGCAGCCTCCCCCTGCCCGCCACGCTGCCTTCACCACTGCTGGAGGTCCTATGAGAAGCCACTGAAACGTTTCTTCCTTTTGACTTCCTGTCTCCTGTCAATGCCTCCCGTGGGCAGACCTCACAGAAACCTGGCAGCCACAGATCAGATCTGGTGAATATAGCCATGGGCTTGCAGCTGTGTGGCCAGGAGCAGTGTGTAGAGGGTCGAGGGGCTGAGAGAGTAGTGGGGTCCTTTCCCAGCGCTCAGGATGGACTGAACAGGTTGGGAACTCAGGTCTCCAGCCCTCTGCCAACCTTTTCATGTGGTCTTGCTCTCCAGAGGCATTTGGAGAGCGCTTTTTCCCGTTCCCTTTTTCCACTGAGGCCACAGCCTGCGAGGGCTGTGAGACCTCCCTATGGATGACGAGCTTCAGAGAGAGTGGCTTCAGGCCTTTCCAGGGTGGCCCGAAGCCAGGGCATCATGGGCATTCCGTGAGCTCAGAGGGGCTGTGGTTGTTAATTTTCCCAGAATAGGCTCCAGGGTTCTGTTGGGGTCTGCAGATGCTTCCTGTGGCAGAGGCCACAGCGTGGCTTGCAGATCCCAGACTTTCCTGAGGAGAGTGTCATCTTCTGCCCTGTGGGCCAGGAATGAACCATTCCAGGTGAGGCCCAGGGCCTGGAGATGGCATTACAATGTGCTCAAGGACCAGGCCTGCCGCTTCCTTCTGCGTCCTCCCCCAGCCACCCAGGGCAGGGCTGCTTTGGAACTTGGCTGGGTTTTCTTTTCTGTAACAGCTGTTTTCATGGTAGTTGTCACAGTGGTTTGGGGGCTGATTGAAGGGCTAGCAAAGTGTTTTTAGAATATGAAACTTAGAGGACATCCATGGCATCTTCTGTTCTCCATGCTGTGTCCGGATGCCTCCAGCTTTACTGGGTGACCCTGTGTCTTGGGGAGCATCTCACCCCCCAGAGGGGGCTGAGTGATGGAAGGTCAGGTGGTTAGGGTTGCACTTGGGGACTGGGTTTGCCCCAGAGCCGGTGGAGGCCCATGTGTCACCCAGGAGACATCCCCATCTGCCCTAACATGCTGTTGGCCAGTGATCAGAAGGTGGCCCTGTGGACTGGGCCATCCAGGAAAGAAGGGGCCCTTTGAGACCAAAGCGCTTCCTGAAAGGGAATCAGGGTGGGTCTACCACATGCAGCCCATGGTGTGTGCAGAGGCTGTCAGGGCACAAGGGCCCAGCGTGGGGTGCAGTAGAGGTGATGTAGCCACATGGGCAGAGTAGTGCAGAGAGGCCTGTGTCCTGTGGGTGAGAGAGCTTGAGGCCTGATGGTGGAGTGGAGGTCCACTCTTGTCCTGCACCCAGGGGCCTCGCTGCCCATCCAAGGGAGGGGACAGGGCCACACCTGTGGGCCCATGTCAGGAGCTGGGGTGGGAGATTGGCTGCCAGTGCCCCTCTCCACCTAGACACATTTCTTCCCTTCTCCACCACAGTTCTTGCCTCTGGGAAGGGGAATTATCAATGGAAGTGATACAAAAGATCCACTGATGCCTTCCCCTCCCCGAACAGCCCCCCGCCACTGCCTGCACAGGGCAACCTTGTCCCTGGGGCAGATTGGGATGGTCCTGAGAAGAGAGGTTATGACACCCTGGGGTGTCATGGTGGGAACCATGCCTTTGCAGTGTTCAGGTGAGACAGCACAAGGTGTCACCCCGAAACATGGTCCCCTGGGCTCAGTGACAAAGGGGGTGGGCAGGTCAGGTCAGGACTGCACTTCCTTGGGGCCCGTGCCCTGGGAACAGCTTGCCCGGCAATCCTGAATCCTGGGGGTCTGAGTGCACCAGCAGGGCCCGGAGCAGCTGGGAGCGGCCGCCTGCCTCAGTGTGCTCTGTGGCCACACAGGAGGGACAGCGACCTTGGCAGTGGCCTTGAGAGCGTTCACAGCTGCTGCACAGCCATCCTGCACCACGCCGGCCCTGGGATGGATTGCTGTCATGTGACTAACAATGTGTGTTTACTATAGTTACCCTGGTGCCAGCCGTGAGGGATGGGCAGGGACACACATACACACACACCCCAGACACATACCCCCCCACCCCAGATACACATTCTATCCCAGACACACACCACACCCCAGACTCATACCACACCCAGATACATACCATACCCCACACACACCACACCCCAGATTCACACCACACCCCAGATACACACCACACCCCAGATTCACACCGCACCCCAGACACACATACC